AGGCTTCTGCGGCCGCCGCCCGGCTCCCTGGGGCGTAGCCTTACAGCCGCCATTCAATACCTTAGCAAAGAGGATAGGATTAAAGTGAAAAATTCATGTTTTTCATGAACATGACCAGAACAAGATCTCCTAGGCCCGCCAAAACAGCGCAGGCCTGCTTTTAACCCCGATGAGCTCTCACTGGTGGTGTCGTATGATTCGTAATAGGCAATGATGGGTGGAATTGCTTTGAAAAAGCTGGTCGCTTCCAATAAAACGTGTCGGCTCCACAAAGACGTTTTCATGATGGTATTCTTTAATTGCTTGTCCTTTTTGACTCTGCTGGTTTTCCAACTGCGTGCTTGCCAGAACTGATTAACACGGGGCAGCCGTGGACTTAAACTTGCAGAACGCGTCCAGTGTTTCCTTGCTGGGCTGTGCAGGGAGTTAGATAGCAAAAATAAGAAATAGCAGTCACTGAGAGAAAAATGTGAACGGAAATAACGTGTTCCCATTCAAACGTCCAAACCCTGAAAAGCAGCCAGTATTCCTGCTTGGCTGGGAGTGCCTGAGATAAAAATAATTGTGTCACTTCTAAAACTGGCAAGAAAAAACTTACAGAATGACACTGGTTGGGCCTAGAATGATTTCTGCTCAGACTCTTTAGCGAAGAAAGCTCATTTAAAAAAAAAAAAAAAAAAAGAAAAGGTTCTGTATATCAGTGTGCTGCTTGGAAGAGTCTTGGCAGCTGGCTAAATGTTTATGTGCAATTTATGAATGGAATTCATGTCCCAATAATTGTCTATATTTGCATAGTGTCTTCTGGTCTGAGTGCAATTACTGGCGTTATATCCAACTTCTCTACTGAAGCTTGTCACCTGCATTACCAGAAAAGAACCTGTCCAGGGCACTGCCAGCATGGGGAATGATTTCAGGGTTCTTTGTTGTTGTTTGGTTGGTTTTTGTTCAATGGGATGGCTACTATATCAGCCTCCTAATGAACACAAGGTGTTTTTATCTACCTTTTAGTGGAACTCTGCCCCCCCCCCCCCAAAAAAAAAAGCCAAGCTCCTGCTACAGAAATTATTTATGGTTTCCTGGAGACACTAGAGATTTTTTTTTTTTAGACACTTTTATTATCATTATTAACTTAATCATGTAACAGCTAAACAAGCGGTACAGTCCCAGAGTCTTCACATAATGACAGACTGAAGACAGATCAAAGTCTGTGAGATGCTGTTTCAGAGTGCGAAAACCCAGTGGTCCGTAACCCGTAGCATTTTCTTAGGAGGTGCAGACAGCAGAATATAAGCAGATTTGTGGCCATACTTGGCTTGGCCAGGTTGCAAAGGAGGAGGAAAGTAAACCGTTCCCCAAGACAGGAATACCCAAAATAAACCATGCCTAAGTCTCCCAGACACGAGAGGGAAGTTAGCTGGTACGAGAGAGAGGTGAGAGAGATATCTAGCTTGAGATGGACAGTGTGTATCTAGGAGAAAACTTATGTGAGCCATTTTCTGTGCTTCACTGCACTGGTCTCCAAAGAAAGAGGTCGTGTCAGAGTGATCCATGTGGTTTATGTAGCTTTGCAGCTAGGAAACAGATAAAGACATGGGGTCTGAGGTTCAGTTCCTCTCCTGAGGGCTTTTACTCCTTAGGGGGCAACTGCACAGGGATTTTCTTACCCCTTCTGATTGTTCTGCTGCCATATGTAAACATTTTTGTGACTGTAACTCTGTATCATCTGTAAGTGATGACACAGGATACAAAACAAGTTGAAAAAAATCCACAATTCCGTTCTGAAAAATTATGGTGAACATGGTGCTTATTCTCCACTGAGAAATATTTTGTTTGTGCCCAACATTGGAGTCGGGACAGTCCTTCGGAGGGTTGCTGAGCGTTTAGCATCGCTACTGCAGGAGGAAAAGCGGTAGCAATCCTGTGAGAGGAGGGATTCAGGGCTGCAGCGAGCCTCACTAGTGCAAACCTTGCATGTGTTACTGAAATACCAGCAGTATCTGTAACACAGATTTTGAGCATAAACAGTTGTTATTGGTAGCCAGAACAGTGCATCTGGCACAGTGAGCTATCAGGTTGGACTGGTCCTCTCTCTGTCCTGAACTCAGTCTGAGCTTGTCGTATTGGACTTAGAGTTGTGTCCCGTTTGGATGCATTTTTTTGTACTTTCTAACAAGCAAAACTGTGCCAGGGCTCAGGACTGAGCGTGCTTCTCTGCTGCTGGAAGAAAAACATGCAGGGGACAACTGTTGAGAATCTTTCAACCTTTTTTTTTTTTTTTTTTTCCCCCCTCTGCTGTTCAGCTAGCCCCGGCCCATTCAGTGTTTAAGGAGTGATTGGCTTTTGTCATGACTTACTCTCTCAGGTAATTAAATTATATTGACTTGGACGTATGTTCACAAGACATCCTGTGGTCCATACAGCAATGCAGGGACAGCTTTAGTTGCCTGCACAAGTGTATGTTGTGTGTTAATGGGATTCATGTACACTTGTACAAAATGTGCCCTTGAGGAAAGTTGTTGGGAACCCAGCAAAATGAAACAAGTGAGATGTGGGTCAGCTTCAGCAGGCGAGATAACAGGTTTAGCTTAAGTGTATAAATTCCAAGGTTTGTGATGCACCATATGATATGCAAATTATATGTTAAATTAAAGGGAGGGGTTGTTAAAAATGCACATACAGTAGTTGTGTTTGCCTTCTCCCTTTAAAAAGAAAAGAACATACTACTCTGGCAATTTGATAGAAAATCTACACCGAGATGCTAATTCAGATATTGAAGTCAGGAGATGGAAAATTTAGAAATGTGGGCTCTGTTTCTTACTGTGCTGCTGCTGTTCTAGTGGCCTTGACACAATCATCTTTTTTTTTTCCCCCCTCTCTCTGCACTTCTTTCCCTGTTTGTGTAACAGGGGCTGCAGCACATCTCCCCTTTGTATAATGAGCTTTGCTAGTGAAGGGAGCATACAGAGTTTGGAGTTGTTATTGTGAAAGTCTGAAAAAGATGTACTGCCAGAAGTTATTAGGCAAACTGTGGACCGTGTTGGTGTTTCCTCCAGACCTCAACTTTTCTGGCTTTTGGTAAAGCTGCAGGAATCAGTACCCATTGCAAAGCATGGAAATTTGGGTCCTAGATTTCCATCAGTGTGTGTTGTGCTTTAAATCCTTGAAGACTGAATCCATGAATACCCCCAGCAAGAGGAGGGGATGAGGTGGTTCTTTTCTTGGAGCCGTGCCTGACAGGAGGAGTGATGACATTCAAGGAAGATTTGACATTAGCGTTTGGTGAGGTTGTGTCTGAAGTCCATCTTCCCTCAGCCTGGCTGAGCATTTGTCGCAAAGCCGTTGCTCTGTCGTGCATCAGTGACTCCTTCTCCCTGCCGTTTTCTCTATAGAGTCTGTGCCAGCAGCGAGACTGAGAGTGAAGCTGGGGATATCATGGACCAACAGTTTGAGGAGATGAATAACAAGCTGAACTCAATGACTGATCCAACTGGCTTCCTG